CACTGCTGGATCAGTTGCTCGCGCGCCCTTGCCGCGGCAGCTGCTCGACCTATCTCGGCACTGAGATTGTAAACCTCTTTTCGCTCGTAAGCAAGTAGCTCAATTGGCATGACGCCAGAAATAACTAGAACCGCGTCCGCGGACACTGTACGGTATGCAGAAGCAATGCGTAGTGCCCCTCTGCGCTGTACCGAAGACATTTGAACCCGGTATTTTTTGACTTTCAATGCGTCAGCCCATATTTCTGCCCCGTACAGGAGCACCGATTGGACCGCTGTCATCAGAAGCTTCCTGCGGCATGGCTTCGGGCCGCCCACGTTTGCCATCAGCCGGCTTAGAGCCGCTGTGCTCTGCGCAGCTTTTTCACATACTCCATGGATGTGTTCCCAGAATGTGAGTTTGCTGTCCAGCTTCACCCCTAGGTATTTTGTAGACCTAGAAGTCGTCACGGGTTGAGGTCCGACCATTATATTTATAATTGTTGGGATCCGTTTCCTGGTGAGGAGCACGATCTCCGTTTTGGCTGTAGCCAATTGCAGACCGTGATCGCTCATCCATCCACTGACGTTGCGCATGACCTGGTTTAGCTTGAGCTGTGCTAGCTGGACATTTCTTGCTGTTATGACGGCTGCCACGTCGTCCGCGAAGGCGACAAGGAAGGCGCTCTCCGGCATTTCCGTGCGCAACAGACTGTCATACGTGGCGTTCCAGAGGTCCGGGCCAAGTACAGACCCCTGTGCCGCTCCGCTGGTTATACGTCTCTTTCTCTGGCCTTGTGTTGTGTCGTACAAAAGCCAACGGTCTCTGAGGTAGTCCCGGATCATATCTAGCAAGTATGTTGGAACCTTGAATGACCGTTCCAAGGCCTCCAGCATATCGTCCCATCTTGCCGAGTTGAAGGCGTTCTTGACGTCCAGTGTGACTAGCAGCACTATTGGCCGCGCCTGGTGGCAGGCTTCTTCGGCCTTATGTACCGCCTCGACTACTTCGCCAATTGCTCCTATAGTTGAGTGTCCCTTCCTGAAGCCATGTTGTCGGGGTGAAAGGCCTCCCTCGCTTTCTATGGCTGACGTCAAGCGTATTTTGAGCAGACTCTCCATCATTTTGCCTGCTGTGTCTAGCATGCAGAGTGGCCGGAAGGATGAAGGAGAGTTTGGGTCCCCTTTGCCCTTGGGTATAAGCACCAGTCTCGCCTTCTTCCATTGGCTTGGGAAAACCCGGGCCCTAAGGCAGCTGTTGTACATGTTAAGCAGAAGATCAGGGCTCGTTTCCGCTGCTAACCTGATTGCCTCCGCTGGTATGCCATCTGGGCCTGGAGCCTTGCCGGCTTTCATGCTTCGCAGGGCTAGCTTCAGCTCGTCTGTCGAAAACAGTGGTGCCTCGGCTTGCTCCTCGACGAACACTGTGTCGGCTCTTAGTGGGTGTGTGGGAAATAGCGCATCCACTATATTCTTAACTCGGGCCTCATCCATCGCCTGTGATGATGTATGGAACTTTTTCATCACTATTTTGTATCCCTGGCCCCAGGGATCGCGATCCACTTCGTCGCATAGCGCTTTCCAGCAGTTCCGTTTGCTCTTCTGTATCTCGGCCCCAAGTGCTTTCTTTGCGCTTTTGTAGGCTGCTGCTCTGGTCAGCGCCTCGGGTCTACCACGAGCGCGCGTTGCGAGTCTCCGCATTCTATGGCAGGCCCTTCGCAGCTCAGCAATTCGGTCATTCCACCAGTATACCTGCTTTTTACCTGACCATGCTCTCCTCTGTGGCATTGAGGCTTTGCATGCCCGGTGAATGCAGCGCATAGTTTCTTCGACCAGCTTAGTACAAGACTCCCTGTTGTGGATCTCTCCCGTTGTGGGTGAAATGCCTTGGGAATCTGCTAGGAGTGACGTATCGAACTTGCGAACATCGACCCTAGACGGGTTCCATCCTGGTTTCCTGCGAGGGATACTACGTGTTTGCCCTCGCGTGATGTCAGTGACTTGGAAGGTGATGTAGTTGTGGTCGCTACCACTCAGGTCTTCCATCACTCTCCATCCGTCAGCCCTTCGGAGAAGGCTTTCTGAGACCAGGGTTATGTCGGGGATAGAGTATCCAAAACCCGGCCTTCGATATGTAGGGGTCGTTCCGGTGTTGAGGATGGTCAGGCCAATGCGGGCTGCCATTTCAAGGACCAGTCTTCCCCTGGTGTTTGTTTGGGGCATACCCCATTCCACGCCTCTTGCGTTGAAATCTCCAGCAACAATTATGTGGCCGGTTATATCGCGCAATTCGTCTTCAAGGTCTTCGAGCTTTCCCCTGAAGACAGGGACTGTGTCGTTTGGAGACAGGTAGCAGCTCACCACAGTGATTTGCGCCATTTTAACCCAGACGTAGCAGCGTCCTACCCCGCTGCTCTCTGCGCGATGGTTGGGGTTAGCAATCCATATCGCGGCCGAGCCTGATTGGTCAACATGCCAGGTTTCTTTTGTTCTATAGGGTTCACTGATGATGACAGCGTCTGCTCTTTGTTCAAGAACCAATTGGTCCAGCAGGTCATCAGCTACCCTACTCCTGTTCATATTGCCTTGTATAAATTTAATCATATTCTCCCAAGCTTTGTCTTAGCCTCAGCAAGGGCATCCCTGAAGGCCTTGCACGCTCCCGACCCGGGCAGGTGATGGGAATTTTTCTGTCCATCTCCTGCCGAGCACAGGTAGCAGCTTGGGCTTTCTTTACACGCAGAGGCTATGTGGCCCTGCTGACCACATTTCCAGCATGAACTGCTTCTGTCTGGGCCTTTGCATGCCGCCTTTTTGTGGCCATACCCCAGACAGCGGAAACACCTTTGGACATCCGCGCGCTCTCGGACGCGGCAGATAATCCAACCTACTCGCAGCTTCCCCTTTTCAATAAGAGTCCGGCCTGGCAGTTCATCGATTTCCACCACGGCCATTCTTTGTTCTCGCGAGTTTACAGCGAGGAGAGAGACGCGAAGTTGGCCATTCATCTTGTCTCCTAACTCCCCGCGTATAGCGTTCTCCACTTCTGGGGCCGTGGTTAGGCAGTCCATGCCCAGAACTTCTAGACGTAAACGTCTAGTGAGAATACGGGCGTCTCCAAGCTGGCCAATGGCAGTGCACACATTTTCCTTAAATGCTGTGTGGTTGCCACAGCGCTCCATTTCGATGAGCACGCCGCCTTCGCGGGTTTTCCGAACAGATCGAATTACGGTCTCCGTCTTCTCGGGTTGGAGCTTACCGCGTATCGTTCCCAGCACCTCTGCATAGGTTTTGCCTTCAGCTGGCTTAATTATTAATTTGGCGAGACTCTTCTTTTTTCTCACCCTCTTCTTTTTTTTGCGGCTGGTCGCCTCGCCCTTATTGACCAAGGGTTCACCTGGCGCTGGCCCTGGCTTGGGCTTTCTACTTTTTCCAACCGTTTTCCATTGATTGTCTGGTACGGTTTTCTGTGCATTGTTGTTATTATTGCCATTATTATTAGGATTATTAATAATAATGTTTTTACTACTATTATTATTATTAGCAGTAGTATTTTTCTTCTTTTCCGGCTCGCCTGTAGGGGAGTCGGATCGAGTTCGACCTCTCTTTTGCGAGCCAGGGCCAGCCTTCCGCAGCTCGGAAAGGGTAGGCCCCTTCCGGCGCTGCTCTCGGAGGTAGCTTAATATATTTAAGCTCTCCTCGATTTGGGCCATACCTGTTTTTATGTCCATGGACACATTCTTTTGCTTAGACACAGCGCTCTGCATCTTCTTCAGGACAAGCCGAATCTGGGCCAATTGCTCATCTTCATTGCCTTCGCAAGTTCCCAAGCTTGCGATGACATGCTTGTCGCTGTTTGCAGCAGCCGGCGTTTGAAGACGACTATCCCGGCTGCCGGGAGTTGCCGTTTGGCAAGGTGTAGCCTTCTGCGCCACGCCGGCGGCTTTCTCCGTGCTCGTGGTGCCGGAATTTGCCTGCAGAGGAGTTTGTGGCGGGGAGCGCACGACTCTACTGCTCTTCCTGAATGCGCTGCATTCTTCCTCCGTATCATCGACGTTCGTTTCGTTTTTTGGTTTTGTTTTAATCATTTCAGTCAATTGGGTCTCCGCTTCAAGCCGCTATCTCCACACGTAGCACAGTCGCTTTTAAGTGTCCCGAAGTTCCCTTCTCTCAAAGGAGCAGGCCATCGCGAGGGTTGACACAAGTCCTTATGGGATATTGTGTTCAGAGCCAAGACAGCGCAAAACCAGGAGTAAATCTCAACTGGACCTGTGCGGCCAACTAAATGGCGACGTGTATTGAACGTACTTGAAGACCTGCCAGGGTTTTAACGAGACGGAGGCGATCGCAGCATTAGCCCACCAGCCATTTCTGTGAGGTGTCACCCTCACATACTAAAGTGGCGGAATACTGCTCTCGCCAGCCCAATGTCAGACTAATCGTATACATGCTCCAGTATGCCATGAACAGGATCTAACTGGTCTCAATCCTGGGATGCTTTTTGGGGGGCGGCATCTGTTCGCCCGGACACAGGAGATTCATCAAGCATTTCTGATCTTTTAAATCAGGCCCTCGTCTCCTGCCGCTCTTGGTCTGGGACTGCTTATTGGTTATTCGCAGCTAACCTATCGGAGTAGGCCGTTCACGATCCGCCCTGTGTGACCCCGGTAAGGTCCTGAGCTTAGCCCTTACCTTACCCTTATTATTATTATTATTATTATTATTATTATTATTATTATTATTATTATAAACTAATATTTATAATTAGTCTATTCTGTAATATATCACAAATACTTAAATATCCAAATGTTCTATTCTCATTTGTCTGTAAGAAAACATTTTTCTGTAGACCAAATAAACAAATAAATAAATAAATATAAGAGACATACAGGCTTGAACTCTTGTTAACAGAGACTGCGTATATGAATATCGATAGTTAAACGCTTGTCAGTGGCCACCTACGGTCCCTTGAGCACAGCTGTTTGAAAATTCTGATAATATTTAATTTTAAAATTGTTGCAGGGTAATAATTCAAGCTGATGGCCAATTGCGTACAGGTTTCGACGTTGTTGTGGCCGCTTTACTAGGTGCTGATGAATTTGGTTTTAGCACAGCCCCGTTAATTGTCATGGGTAAGTATTTTTATTTTTCAGTTTCAAATTGTATGATAATAGTTGGCATATGGTCAAACACGGGTGAAAGAAATAAAAGAATTGCCTGATTTTGACCAGTTTTGGCCATATATCTCTAGTTTATTTAAATATTAGTATTTTTTTTGTAAAGTTCTAGCTAGTTATACAACAATCACCATATAAATGTAATGAAATGCAAGTTTCAAGTGCCTTCAAAATACCGTTGATTTTTGATTTTTTTTGCTGACCGTGTGACGAATTCCTTTTCATACAAACTATGTATGTTCACAATTTCTTTTATGGAAGAGAATGGCTAGCATCGTCAACAAAAAAATTGCCAGAAATCAACGATATTTTGTAGTCTCTTAAAACGTGCACTTTATTATACTAAAATTGAATATGCATAAAAGTGAAGAAAAAACTTAAATGTTTGTGAAAATTTATTGCATTTTTATAATTTGTGTACAAAGTGTGAAATGTGGATTTATATGGGTTTGTTGTATAACTAGCTAGACTTTTATAAAAAAAAATATTAGTGCATTTCATGAAATGTCGCATTTGTCGCAAAATTTGCCACCTTGCGATACAGCTGATTACTTTTGTATAGAAACTTTCTTGTGACAAAATTGCGACATTGCCATAGTATTTGAGCTGGCAATCATTGCAAAGTCAAAGTCGCGAAACCCATGTTTTTTTNAAAATACCGTTGATTTTTGATTTTTTTTTGCTGACCGTGTGACGAATTCCTTTTCATACAAACTATGTATGTTCACAATTTTTTTTATGGAAGAGAATGGCTAGCATCGTCAACAAAAAAATTGCCAGAAATCAACGATATTTTGTAGTCTCTTAAAACGTGCACTTTATTATACTAAAATTGAATATGCATAAAAGTGAAGAAAAAACTTAAATGTTTGTGAAAATTTATTGCATTTTTATAATTTGTGTACAAAGTGTGAAATGTGGATTTATATGGGTTTGTTGTATAACTAGCTAGACTTTTATAAAAAAAAATATTAGTGCATTTCATGAAATGTCGCATTTGTCGCAAAATTTGCCACCTTGCGATACAGCTGATTACNAATTTCATGAAACGTCGCAAATGTCGCGTTTGTCGCAAAATTTGCCACCTTGCGATACAGCTGATTACTTTTGTATAGAAACTTTCTTGTGACAAAATTGCGACATTGCCATAGTATTTGAGCTGGCAATCATTGCAAAGTCAAAGTCGCGAAACCCATGTTTTTTTNACGTTTATAAATAAACATGTACACGACACATTTACAAAAACGGCACTCAAGTACACAATACTTTGACAAAAACAGTACTAGACTGTCTCGCTTTGATTTCGGAATGCTTACACATTGAGATGTTAGCTTACTACCAATATAGAAGTATTACATATATGGTTTCATAGGCTTATTGATCAGTACTTTTATGTGCAAGAAAACACTGTCCACGTTTTCAGCCAACGTTTCGCTAAATTTCTTAGCATCTTCAGGGGTGTTTATTCTCCTTTTCTTCTCACATCAACATATAAATATACATAAAATTTAAAATTAGTAAGGACCTATAAAAATGTGTAAACAGTTCTACAAACAATAATAAAACAATCACAGGTTTTTAAAATTTTTTTCACTTATGAACATTTGTTGAAAGTTCACATACATATATAAACAAATAAACAACATTAAAACTTAAACTAATTGGTCCGCATCGATACCAACGTCGTGTGGTACACTTGTCATACTGTTTGGTTCTAGCTATAAACTTAGTAAATAGGCAGTCGCGATGTCATCCTTGTCTTCCTTTTTGTTAATTGTCTCGTCCCTCTTCTATAATATCCGTAAGCTCTCCAACGTGAATCTTGTTCTCTCCCTCTTGTCTTTGTCTGTGTGCCCGCTTGCTAATATGTGTTGTGATAGCGCCGTGTTGCCCCTCTTCTCCTTAATGTCCGCTTCATGCTCCTTTTCGTCGTTGCAATGTAAATTTTATTACATTTTTCGTGTTCACTTCCTTCGCATGTTATTTCGTACACTACGTTATTTTGTTGGCCATTTGATTTGGCCAAAAACCAATTTGACAAAATTTTGAAGGAAACTTAAAAAATTAGTCACATTTGATAGAGAACAATCCAAATATCATTTCCCAGCCCCCCTCACTTTTCTAACTTGCACAGCGAAAGTTCACCGTTGACCGGAAACATAATATAACTAAATTTTCGCTCTCTAGAAAGATCGTGACGTGTTTACGCTAATGTTTTAATTTCTGAATTTTATTCTTAAAAAGTAGTGATGGATCCGCATACAGAAGGTAATAATGCATTTAAGAGTAAATATTTTGTAATCAGTTTATTGAGAAAAAGTTCAATTGAAATGTAATGAACGAGTATTTTTTTGTTAATTTTTGTGAATATTAAGGAATTTGTTGTATCCCCGGGAGCTTAGAAATTTGGCTAATATAGTGTGAAAAGACTGCCCACAGAAAATGGCAGATAAGTGGTATTGCTTTACTTAGAAAACGTATTAAGGGAAAATCTAAAAACGCATCTAGTATATAATTACCAGGGAACGGATTTTATGGAAATTGCCTTTTTTTCTGCTAAAGAAATAGAGCATATTCGATTAAGAATGTCCACGATTTAGCTTTCCCTGATTCCATATATACACATTTGATGTTGCCTTTTTTTGCCTTTTTTAAGATATTTGCCTTTTTTTGCCCTTTCTACCTTTAAAAAAGTGATTATAGCATTTACAATTTTTTTTTAAGAATACAAAATATACACATGCCCATGAGGCTTATAGAAGCGCAGTGACCTCTTGCCAAATTGGTGTTGGAAAAATTCAAAGCCGTTTTATCAGCAAACGTAGGCTTAGAGACAATAAGGGGTGTGGATAAAATTGTAAAGGGCGGAGAAAACGCCCTTATTCCTGATAATATGAACATTTCAAACGTTCCATATTTAAATTGGGTTCCTCTTGTATCAACTTGCGTCAAGCGCACATTTAGTACATTCAAGGATTTTCTTCGCAAAAATCGTACGAAAATGCTGCCAGAAAACTTCAAAATGCATCTTGTGACTCAATGTTACTACAACTATACAGATTAAAGCTTTATGAGTTTGAAACTCGAAAGGATAAAATAGTCAAAGATTCAAAGTACAAATTTTTCATATAATGAAACTAGTTCGTAGTTTTTCGCTTTTTACTTGTAATATAAACATTTCTAAAATAAATATATTTTTTGATTGTTCTTTGTATTTTCGGTCTTTTTTTAGTGCTTTTTAGATGAATTTGAGGCCGCTGAACTAGAATATGAATCCACTTAATTTAAAAAATAAATAGTTTTCGAGATATAAGCAAAAGTCTAGGACCTTTCGGTCCTGTTGCTAGAAATCTTCGGTAATGTAATGCGAACGCAACTACAGTGACGAACAAAAGTATTGGCACAGTGAATTTTTCGCCATATATGCAAAGTTTTTTATTCTGATTTATTTTCGGCAATTTTTTATAAAAATATAGTTCATTATACACCTTCTTCTTCTTCTTTTTTGGCGCTGTAACGCCAGTCGTTTCTCCTCTGTGCCAACTGACGCCAATTGGAAACGCCAAGTGAAGCCAAGTCCTTCTCCACCTGATCTTTCCATCGCAGTGGGGGCC